GGTGGGCAGAAAAAAATAGGGTCGGTCGGGAAAGCGGAACCACAGGTAGTTTTTTAGGCCTTGGTATAGATTGACAATTAAGCCCAGGTCACCTCACGCAACGATAACGATAACTTGTAAACACGCGATGATTGGTCAATAAAATTATGTTGGTGTCCACACTACAACGAAAACGATAAAATTATCGGCGTTTGACGATAACGATTTTAAAATCGCTCACCCGAGCGATTTTTTTTTCAGTCGGAGGATGACGATAAATTTTTTGAACAAGGGCAAAGATAATCTTTTGGCTTTTTTCATCCCAAAATATGTCGGATGCGTGGAATTTTCATGTACAGCCAAAGTTCTTCACGATTTCGAATACTTTGGCAGGTTTGCTAGTTATTACTAGAAGGAAAATGTAAGTACACGAATAGTAAATTTCCGCGTACCTATGTGGTACTTGCCTAAAAACAAAGAAGTACCAGACCATAAATTTGGCGTACCTCCGGTACGTTGGTACGCGAATTATCGCACCCTGCATTATGAGACATACCCGTGACGTGTGCGCTAGTGTTAGGATCAGGGTTAAGATTAGACTTCGGATAGGGGTATTAAAAGATCAATTAGGATTGGGTTAGGATTACGTTCAGGATTAAGATAGATTGGTGTCAAGGCTGGTTCACACTAGCAATTTTGTCGGCGATTTTGTGTTCCTGACGGGTGCAAATTGAATGAGTGAACTCGCACGAGTGAACACAAAAGTAGAGTCGCTTTTCAGATGTAAACAATACTAAGTCTTTGCATGTCATCCATTCGATCAGATTCGATCACATTTGCGGATCTGATTTGCCTGTGAAGGGTCTGTGAACTAGGCTAGGCACAAGAGGCCCAGGGTCGATTCGCCCGCGCACAGGCGGGGCGAAGTTAGGTCGCTTACCTTACATGAAGTACATGCTTTATCGTGACGCCATCTTGTTTTGGACGCGAAGAACTGAAGAAGAAGGCATTGATAAGATTGAAGGGAGAAAAGGTGAAAAATTCGGACCCCGTTGGACATATGTTGGTGGGAAAGCTGATCGACTTTCGATGGATTTCCTTTCTGGAACGTTTTCATTTATTTTACATGTAAATGATTAAATGAATAATAAACGTGAAATATATCGCTGTCTAGAAGATGTGTTCAAATATAAGGAATTTAAATCTAAAGTTCAGAAAGATGCCGTGAATGCTGTTATTAATGGTAACGTAATATTTGAATTAGTTGTATTACTTGTTTAACTTGTGTGTAATTGTGTTTATATTTATATAATTAGTGCTTTTGTGTCTTTTGTGAATCACTTCATTTGTGTATTTGGCAACTCAGTCTGGCAACCTGGAGCATTTGTGTATTTGGCAACTCAGTCTGGCAACAATTGCAGTCTGGCAACCGAAAGCTCGTAAATAAAAAATCTTCAACCAGAGAACGTCTCAAAAATCATTATGTTCAATCCTGGTCGCACTTCCAGCATATTTAAATCTCTCAATAAATTTGAAACAACTCATCATTGGCCTATTTTATGTAATTTTTGAGGAATTTCATACATATTAGAGACTGGTCATTAATTACAGGGGGGGGGG